ACACACACACCCAGACACTCACACACACACACACACACACACACACACTCACACACTCAGACACTCAGACACACACTCACACACACACACACACACACACAGAGACAGACAGACAGACACGCACACACACACAGACACACAGAGACACACACACACTCACACACTCAGACACTCACTCACACACACACACACACACACACACACACACACACACACACACACACTCACACACAGAGGACAGAAGAATCAAATAAATACTTAATTGACAGCATCACACAGTGCTTTCATCGTCTGTGATGCAACTCAAGATCTGCTGGACTCTGGTAAACACAGTTTCACACTCGTGTGCAGTGTTCACTATTTAAAAGACGGCAGGTTTGGCACTTTGATGCTGATGTCCCCAATGTTGATGTTCTTGGGCATCTCTGGCAGGTTCATGTTCTTCACGGCCGACACAGCACGCGCCGGAGCCCCTGTGATCCCAGCCTGAACATACAAACACACAGTTACACAGAGAACCAGCACAGACCAGCAGAGACTAGCCTAGACCAGCACAGACCAGCAGAGACTAGCCTAGACCAGCACAGACCAGCAGAGACTAGCCTAGACCAGCAGAGACTATCGCAGACCAGCTTAGACCAGCACAGACCAGCAGGCACGCCATACATCACAGGATGCAAACAAACGCTCTGATCTCAAAGCTCTGCTCATGCATAACCAGACGGGATGGAAACAGAGTGAGGAAAACTACAGAAGCTGACGACAGATTAAATGAGACGCACAAACCCTCACAAACTCAGACTGAGCTCCTGGGATCTACAGGCCGTGTTTCATAATCCATCAATAACACGTAGGTTTAACATGCTTTATATACACTACCAGTCAAAAGATTTTTCTTTGAAAGAAAGTCTCTTCAGCTCACCAAGCCTGAATTTATTTGATCCAAAATACAGCAAAAACAGTACAAGTTTGAAATATTATTAGAATTTAAAACAGCTGTTTTCTATGTGAATATCTGTTAAACTGTAATGTATTTCTGTGATGCGCAGCTGTATTTTCAGCATCATTACTGCAGTCTTCAGTGTCACATGATCTTGAGAAATCAGTATAATATGCTGCTTTGCTGAATTCAGGATTGGTGAGAAGAAGAGTTTTTTTCTTTAAAAAACAAAAAATCTCACTGTTCAAAAACCTTTGACTGGTAGTGTATGAAACATCATCTGATGTCTTTATGAATATGCTGCTGTGTTGTGGGTCTGCTGGATCTGGAGCTCTGGTGCGTGTGAGCGTCTGTCGGCCCTCAGGAGGTGTGTGTGGGGCTCAGCAGTACCTGTGTCTACCTGTCCTGTCTGGGACACTGAAAGACAAAGGTCTGCAGAGAGAGAGAAACGCACAGAGCTGGAGACAGTGAAGAGAGACAGTTACAGCAGCTCAAGATCAACACACTTCATACAGAACGACTGTCACGACCCACAGAGAGATCCGAGCGCTGCGTCAGCCAGAAACAACAGCTCTACAGAGGAGCCTTTGATACATATATGCACTATATGTTACTCTGCAGCACAAAAGCAGTGTTAAGTCGCTGGGGTATATTTGTAGCAATAGCCAACAATACATTGTATGGGTCAAAATCATACATTTCTCTTTTAAGCCAAAAATCATTAGGATATTAAGTAAAGATCATGTTCCATGAAGATATTTTGTAAATTTCCTACCGTAAATATATCAAAACTTAATTTCACTTCAGCGTTAGGGCTTTTTGCATTGAGACTCTGCTTAAACGCTCTCATACTGCAGAGACCTCAACCTTCACAGCGTCTAAGCAGTGTTCGTCGCACTGAATTTAATTCATTACAATTATAATTAATTGTTTGATTATAACTTTTATTCATTTAAATAATTATTTTATATGATGCAGATTTTAATAAAAAGAAAATCACTGTCAGGATTGTTTTAATTATTGCATTACAGAGAATTTAATGTCAATGCAAAAACTCTGTTTGGTTTTTTTTAATGATTTATTTTTGGCTTTTTTGAGGCAAGTAGAGAAAAATTAAATTATGTCCCATGTGTGTGTACATGTATATATATATACACACACACACGTTATCTTTGAGTTTGAGGCGAAACATGACAAAAATATTCATATTTTTTTAGTCTTGTTTTCTGTAAAAAATTTTAACATTTTGTGAGTTTTTGCTTAAAACAAGCAAAAATATCTGCTAATGGTGCAAGTAAAATAATCTTGTTTAGCCTTTGAATTAAGATTATATTAAGATTACATTTCTTCAAAATGTTGATACTTTTATTTTTTAGAAAACAAGACTTAATATCTTAAATCATTTCACTCGTACAGTAAATGTATCTTGATTCAAGAATGTAAGATATTTATACTAGAACACAAGACAAACACTAAGCAAGAGAATCATTTTTTGCAGTGTTTTATCTTCTGCTTTATATCTGAATTGAATGTGCTTCTACTCGACGGCTTTAGCAACACCGGCTCTGTTATTGATCTGAATTATGACTCTATTGTCTTGACCTGGTCTCATATTTGATGAGGTCTGCATCATTGATTGTGTGGTTTTCCTGCTGCTCTGAAACAATCTGTCGAAGATCTCTAAGGCATCACAGAAGGGCATTCTGGGACATGCGCATGCAGCAGCGGAGCCGCTCTCACCTCAGACTTCTCCATCTTGCCCTGCGCCTCCACCTGCGTGATGATCTCGCTCATGTTGGTCTCCAGCACCATGCCACCCATCACCATCTCCGCTAGGATGTTGTGCACCTGCGGACACACAGAACAGACGTGTCAGCGCCCCGCGGCTAGCGCTAGCACTCGATTGTGAAGCGCGCATCACCTTATCCACGTGGAAGATCAGGTCCAGCTCACACACATTCTCGAAGCATTTATCCAGCGTCTCCACCAACACCTGCGACACAGAGAGAGCAGAGACAGTTACAGATCCTTCAAGAGCAGAAAACAATACGTCTCTAAATGTATTAGAATCGCTTTAGAGTTTGAAAATACAACTTCCTACAGATCTGCATTAAATCATTTTACCAAAAACAATAGCTTAATGCTTGAATATCTCTGCTCACAAACACTAGAATATGTGACCCTGGAGCACAAAACCAGTCATAAGGGGCAATTTTTGGAAATTGAGATTTATGCATCGTCTGAAAGCTGAATAAATAAGCTTTGCATTGATGTGTGGTTTGTATTGAATGTGACCTGGATCAGATCCAGAATGCCCAGCTCGCTCTCGGACGAATCCACACAGAACACGAAGTACAGCGTGGCGTAGTGTCTGTAGATCAGCTTGTTGTCCGAGCCGCCGATTAACCTGAGAGCACACACACACACACAAACACA